ATTGCTAGTAGTTATTTTACCTAAATGAACTAATACAGCTTGCTAAAATTCAGTATAATGCTGTCAGTTTTCATCTTTCTTTCTCAGGTTTTCCGTGAATTTTAAGTATATCATGCTTCTTCACAGACTCCCTAGCAAAACATATGCTAACGTACCACAGCACTCAAGTAAAATCAAATTCTAATCTTCCTCAGCCCAAATACAAAATTATATACAAGCATGATAACAAGAAACTTTTACTTATATTTTTATATTCAACTGTTGGGATATACAGAAAAAATGCACATTAAAATTGCTCACTCTGGAAACAGAATATCACTTAATTTCATCAGGGTGTGTGTACATTCACTACTGCCTGCAGCATACATCTTCTCTAACTTTACAACCAGAAGTCAAAGGAAGATCCCTGCAGAACAGCTAAATACTCAGGAACTGAGTGCTAGAACAGGCATAAGTGAACAGCCCAGAGTCCATCTCCATAACTTCTTTCAGTAGGGTACAGAAGACAGAGTATGTGCTTTCTTGCAAAATACACCACTAAGATCTTCATCATATTTAAGATAACTGCATTTGGAAAGGTTTGCTGAGAACCTCATAGATAAGTAGGAAGAGCATATTATTTTATTTTGTGTTAGATTTCTTAATTATTTACCATAAGCTAAGAACACTGGCAACTGCAAATAGCATTAAATTACCTTGACAAAACAATCTCCCTGATGGCAAATCAATTCTAGGAAAATGATAGAGCAACAATGCCAGGGATCACACTTCTAAACAAAGGATTTTGTGTGAGACTACCAACATTCTAAAGAGAAAAACATGAGCATACTGTTTCAACTAACAATATATTTTTTTGACAAATTTTAATAAGTTATATCTAGTATGCTGATTGCATTATGGAAAGATTTGGTTGAACTATACTCTATTTACTGAAGTTGACAATCTTGCATGTCTCTACTGTAATGATCCCTTTCTGTTACTTCTTGTCTAATTGTTATTTCATATTTTGTATCAAAGTTTATCAAGGAGTAATAAGGTGTTGTAGCTGTTTACCCCAGAAAAGAAAAAACAAATGGTGACATGAAAATGCAAACAAGTCACATGATCATGCAAAAAGAAGACTAATCCCTTTTCCATGTTGACACTGAACTGAACAAATGGACATAGATAAAGTTACTAAGAAGTATATCTATCAGAAGCATAAAACTTTTCCAGTTAAAACATATAGCTAAACACTAGAGTAGATTCTCTGGGGAGAACAGCAAATATCAGGTTTTTAAAACAGTAAATACTTTTCAGCCTGGTTTGTATGGACCACTTAAAGTCCTTGCATTTGCATATGTCAATAGAATGATCTAAATATCTGATATTTCTAAAATTTCCTTCTTCTCTAGGAGAGGGCCTACAAACCATTGAACTCCTAAATAAGTGTCTGTTTGAATAAATTTCTGTAGAGTCAGTCTTACCTTGCAGCAGAAGGAAGAGTGAATTCCTGAGATTCCTTCTTGCTCTATTTGGTGATTCTGTTTTGCAACTGCCATCTCTTAAAGTTACCCAATAATGCTTTCCAATTTGCTACCCACTTTCTTCAAACTCAGTTTTTACCAGCCCACCATCATCATCCATTTCCAGCTCCAACTACTCCTCCATCTCAGTGTCTTTTATTATCCTTCTATTCTGTTGACACTGTTGTCCAGCTTTTAAAATTCTCCTTCACCTGATTGAACACTTTGAAATAATACATACAATGACTAAAATGTTGTCTTATGAGATTTAGTCTAAGTTCAACTACTCTAACCAAAAATTACAAGAGTACCAGATAAACTGGAATGTTAAAATATTCCCAGTTTATTTATCTGACCATCTTTTCCGGAATTCCCTTCTGTGATATTTTGATGAAAAATATCTGGCAACTATCTAGTTTTTACTGAGTAGTAATAAACTTGAACCTAAGCTATATTATTTGACTTTAACAACAGTGAATAATGTAAATAAGCAATGGAAGCCAGAAGTATTGCAAAGTGGTAGAAACCTGACATTACATTACTAGATCAGCTTCTTTGGTCAGGCTTTTTAGTGGCATGATCCCAATCTATTACTAAAAAACTATTCATATTGTATTAATAGCAGTATTAATACACAATTACACCAGGCAGGATATATTGTTTCCTATTTCAAATGAAGGCATAACATGAACCATGTACATTCCTTCAAAAAATCTACATAAAACTAGAAGATATATTAGTCCCAAAAAAGTTTTCATAATTTCAGATTCTCCCTCTCATCATCTACCCATCAGCATAAGGGTCCTTTTAAGCACCTTAGTCAGCTAAAACCTAAGATACATTTAGGGTCAAGCAACCCAACTACTCCCAACCCAAACTATGAGACATCTAGTATATGCTTGTAAACTATCCCAAGTCTGTATTTGTATACATGCTACACTTCATTGGGAGTAATGGACAAGCAAGTAAAAAACCTTTCAACTACCCAGAGTAACCATTTAAGATCTTTGACTATATCTTGAGTATCACAGTATATCTGTTTAAATTCCTCTGCCTCAAACCAACTGTAGGGATAATCCAGGTCACATTCATTCCCAGCAGACATTAACATCTCTGAGAATTCCTTCTTCCAGTTTCCCTTTTTTTTAACCTAGACTCCTGAAGAGTCTTTATTCCACACACCTTTTTAAAGTGAAACACATGTTCACAGTTTCTCTACCCACAAGCTCCTCTGCTGTGGCTTAATTTGCACATGCATATAACTGCAATCTAGTAAATTTTCCTTCTTAGAAATGTTCCTATCACAGCTGTTCCAGCTGTGGGACCTGATTATTTACCACCACTGTCTTAAGTGCAAATTACCATATTCTTGAGGCAAAGTGATGATTCTATGAAAGACTCACTGAATAGTCACATTTACTTTGCAAAAGAACAGAAAAAGTTTAAATAAACAAAGAAGAAATTAAGAAAATACTTGAGCTTTTCAGACAAGAAAATTAGCTTGGAGCCTAGTGAGAGTCTTATTCAGTGGTTTTTCTAAATGGGAAAAGCAAGGCCCTTTTTAGACAGATTAATGACACTATGCCTTTCTTTTTTAGCAGTAACTTTATCTCCATTAACAATGGAATAAGGAATTGCCTACAGCTGCAGCAGTTGCTCAAATCAATTATCACAAGCCTGATATAAAAGTACTTTACAGCAGTGTAAGAAGAGGATTATAATAATGTTAAAAATGAATATATAGTGGCCCTTTTTTTCTAACACCATCTCAAAATGGTGTGCACTGTAGGCTGGAGACGAGAAAAAGGTTCTTTACCCAGAGGGTGGTTGGGCACTGGAACAGGCTGCCCAGGGAAGTGGTCACAGCACCAAGCCTACAGAGTTCAAGAAGCATTTGCATGATACTCTCAGGCACAGGGTGTGACTCTTGGGGATGGTGCTGTGCAGGGCTAAGAGCGAGACTCAGTGATCCTTGTGTCCCTTCCAACTCAGCATGTTCTGTGTAATTCTGTGTTTGTGATCCATCACCCTTTTATCTTGTCTGCTGTGCATGGGAGAATGGGCATGTAGTTAAGCTTACACACTGAGCTACTGGGAAGTCAACAGGACTGGTATAATAATCTGTTTTGTACTGATATCAGGAAGAATAAATCCATGTTGCTGTATAGATATGTCTGATAAGTTTCACAGTACTAAAAGAATTTTTCTTCATTATAATTAAAAACCCCAAACCAGTGCAACTGTCATTAAGTGGACTACAGGAATAATATAAAAAAAATAAAATCCTAAGTAATACATATTCTTAGGGCAGCACAGTATCATCATGTGGGTGGCATGACAAGACTTGTGGAAATTACTTCCCTTTTTTACTCCTTTGAATACATATTGCATGTTTTCAGTTACCTGCTTAAAAGTACACACTAAGCATATTTTCACTTTATATATATATGGTTTCTATCACCATTTTTCAAACATCATAACATTTTATATTACAGGCCCTCAAAGTTAAATGTATGAAATAAATAATACTTATTCACCAACCTGAATATTAATTTGAAATCTGTAAATAAATTTCAACACCAAAAAGCTCACAAAGCATAATGTCTGAACACATACAAATGAACATTTGCACTGATCAACAGCACAACAAAATTGTGTTCAGACACATTTCAAGTCGCTTCCCAAAGTGCTGTTTCACCATTTTATAAGGAAAAAGACAGATTAGCATTAAATTATATCTTATACTGTGCTAATGAAAGGTTCATTTGAATACATTTAGGAACGTATGAATAACATTGCTTAGTATGGTCACAATGTCATTTGTAAAAGAAATTTCAAGCAGTGTTACAATTCTTCATATGGAATTTCATTGTGTTTTGTAAACCAATACATTTTAAATTATTTTGCAGGCTATTTAACATCATTCAAAACAAACAAACAAATCCCTCCGTTGTACTTAAAATTCTTCCCAAATTCTGAATTTTAATAAATGACTATTTATAGTCTTACCTCTTTTCACTGTCACCTGCTGCTGAAGTTGACAGCAGGGAAAGGTTTATCTTTCTGATACTACTGGCACCATTCAGCCATTGTCACAACAGGATAGTTAGTACACTCTTTCTTCCCCTCATCTTGACCACACTGAAATTGTGCATCTAGTCAATAAACTACTGTAATATCTGGAAATTTTAAATAAATAGACCTGATACATATTATGTCCTATTCATTCTATAAAAGCTTAACTTAAGTTATTGCTAAGCATAATTTACATTTGCTCGAAATTTCTAATTTTATGTTATTTTTTAAAATTGCATTTCATGCACTTAATGCTCTAGACTGCATTCAGTGTATACATCATTATGGTAAGCACATTGGCATGCACAGGCAATACAAGAATAGATTATAATTAATCCCATAGACAACCAAAAAGGGTGAAGTTGCATCATGCAATGAAACCACAGTTTGGCCTGGGCTGCCATGCAGAAAAAAACCTACATCAATGAGTCTGCTGTACGGCTCCTAGGTAAGAGTTGATATGAAAGAGGTGAGTTATTTCAGCAATGAAGTCACAGGCTGAAAATGTTTATACTACTGTAAACAAAATACTGTACATAGCACCAGTATTACGCAGGGATGGGGAAGAAGATGCTTGTAAAGGAGGACAAAAGATGAGAAAGAGAAGAAGGGGGAGGAGTAATCACAAATTACAGTAACAAGTCTGAAATCCAATCGGTTCTTTTAAATAAGCAGTTTGTTATTTCATCCATATAATTTTATTTGAGCTTTCAAAGCAAACCTGAGTTTTCAATGTATTTTGGGGAAAAAAAACAACACCAAAAAACCAACAAACAAAAAAACCCCGGGAAAAAAAAGAGGATGAAATAATGAGATACAGGGCAATTTCAAAATGTCTAAACTGTTCAATAACTGATGAATAACTGAAGAATCATAAACACACAGATATGTTGAGGTGAATTATTCAACGCAGTGCACAGGACCTAAATCACACAAGTTTCACTGATTTGAATGCATAATCAACCAAACTAAAAGAAGATGGATGATATAAGGGATGCATTGATATGAGTGATTTATTCAGTCACCTTCTGCTGCTTTTCTAGTAAAAGACATCTCTGCTGAATAAATCAGGGTATTTTTCATAACTTGTGGTGCTTGTGAATTGCCTTTACCTTACTCACCTTCATAGTTGCACTGAACATAACAATGTGACCTGAATTATAGGGTGACCACCTAGCCTGTTTAAAGGATGTAGATTAGGCCCACTACTTCATAGCTTGGTTCCAGAGAGTTCAGAAAGACATAGTTGACCAGGTAATTTATTTTAATGCAACACGCACAGAAGAGATGATACCTTGAGATGATAAAAGTATGATTTTGTAACACTGTAATATTTTATTATCTGTGTTCCATTACAAAAGGATTTTTCCCATGTTTCTGAATAGGTATGCATTTTTCAAATAATTTTTCTTAATTACCCTTAATTGTACATGATCACTATAGTTTTAGCACAGTTCTCAAATACATAACCTAATTATGGAGGGCAGCAATTCACAGAACACCAAAAAACAACTTTACCAAGAAAACTAAATTTCACTTACTGTATAAGGTTTTTAATAGAATTTGTTTCCAGTTGCAGAACAATTACTTTTGGTATCTTTTTTTTTTTTATACACTAATAGCTTTTTGAAACATTAATCTTTTAATTTAGTAAATTGCCACAGAAATTTAGATCAAACTAAAATCAGCTTAATTGACAGCAAACACCATTTTCTGGCCCCTAGAAATTTCTCAGATTTGCAGAAAAACCTGTCAGCATCTTTTGACTTTGATAGGCAAAAAAAATTTTTAAATTGCACATTCCAGATATAAAACCTCCTCTTACACAGTGAAATACATATTATTTTGCTGTCTAAACACTTCCAACCTTTTCACAGGGACATAATTTGCAGTCATGACTCATACCACTTTTGGCCACTATGTGCTATTTAACAAAGCTAGTAGAATGTTTCATTAATTGTATATTAAAGATGTGAATATTTTCTTGGATGTACAGGTATACTTACAAACTGCTGCACAGTGCATGCAAATGTTATCACCTATGAAAGAGGTTATTGAGTCAAGAAAGATTAAAGCACTACTGACAAAGCCAGAAACCCAGTAAATTGTTTAAGGCAAGCAGATGACAAGGCCAAAAATTTAGAAACTGAACTTGCAGACTTCCAAAATGTACCATTCAAAAAGGTACTGTACAATTATTAACTGGAATTATGGCATACTCAGTATGTACTATAATGTATATGTATGTATCACAACGCAAATTATACATATTACGTATGTATACTTCCCCACTGTTGTGGAAATAAAACAATCTATCTAGACAAACACTGATTTAGCAAAAGATGAAAAGTAGTCCTTATTCTTACTAAAAAATATACACCAGTAATTTTCCATCTAGTTATGACAGAAAGGTCCTCCACATTCAGACAGAACACAAAGCTGGTCTTAGTTCTACAATCTCGTCACTCTCAATATGAACATAGCAATGTAAAAACAAACTTAGAAGAATCATATCCTTCAGTATCTGCTCCTAATGGAGCAGAGTATGATAGAAGCTACAAATGTAAGGATATCTAAATACCAGGTTAAATTACAGCTTACCATACCTCTACACAAAGTTTATTGACACAGTTTATTGTCCTGCAAACAGCGATTTTTTTGCTATAAAACCAGCTAGTCTTCAGAAATACAGTTATTCAGTTCAAGAAGAGATTCAGTCTTCTGTTTTCAGCTCTTGCTATGAATCAACCTCATGTTAGAAAAGTTTCCCTGCTCCAGCTGGAGAGAAGCTATCAAACTCATTCCTTTCCTAATGGTCTAAAATGGCAGAAGTTTCTCCCTTTTGGTGTAGCCAAAAGCCATAACAAACTTTACATAGTTCATACAATTCTGTTGCAAATTATAAATTCTAATCACTGTGAAGGATTCTGTAGTGTTGAAACTAAATGACCAGAGCTATGAAATTTAACTAAATTTCTAGGATATTCTGCCCTGGAGTTAATTCTTTCCGATTCTTGCATATAAAATTCCTTTTAATAAATCAACTACTCGCAAAATTTAGTTTGGCAAAACAGGGCATCCAATTCTAGCTTTCTGTTTCTTCCTAGGCATACTGTGATGTACAGCAAAGAAACCAGATGGGTCAAACTACAGTCTCAACACTGTAAATATTTCTGCTGCTATAGCCCATGGATTTCAGCTAGATGATTCACATACAGAATTAAGCACATTGGATGGAGCCTTCTGTAAATACTAACCAAAAATAATGTAAAAATCTTCAACTGGTAGGAACATCATAAAATTAATTGGCAGGAACATCATAAATATATTTGATTCAACCCACTCACTGAAGAAAGCTCAACTGTATTCAGACCCCTTTTGTCTAACCTGTTCTTAATACTTGCATGAACAGAAATTTCAAATCACTAGGTTTCAATGCTTCACTGGTCTTACAAGCAGAGAAAAGCCTAATCCTTCTAGTATTAATAACTAATAACAAACTTTAAACTTTATTCTTCTTACTGCTTGTCTATATGAAAGATAATATTTATAGCAACAAGAATTTTTCCCTCTGAATTCAGCAGGAACCGTCTAACATGTTAATATCCTTGTCTTCCATTTAATTTCAGCACATCTAAGCTTCTGGAATCTAAAGAGAACACTGCACTAGCAAGTTGTCATTTTTTGCCCAAGTTTCTTAAATTAAACATAATTAAACATTCACCCTTATTTTCCTAAACCTACAAAGAACAAAGACACTACAGTTAAAGGTCACTGCATTTAAAATTACAGATTTGTATCTAAGAGATTGATATTTACTAGGTAAAGTGGTACATATTGCTTCAGAAGAAATTTGACAAAACACAACCATAGTTTAATTAAAAGTATAAATCATTCGGAAAAGTAGTCATAAGATAATTTAATTGACTTTTCACCAGTATTCACTGAAAATTAGCTTACTCATAAAATGATGTGAGAAAAAAATGGCAGACTATGGACAATCTATTTTTTCCTATGGTGGAGCGCTTAAGCCTGACAATTAAAATGAAGATTTGCACTAATGGTGCAACAAGCAATCTGTACACTTAACATAAATAAAGATCCATCAACAACTATTATTGCATTTTCATCATATCATGTGGTACAATAGAAATAAAATTAATGTTAAGCATCTTTGTCACGTAAGTTTTTGCTTTGGAAAACCAGCAGCCAACAAAGGAGGTCACTATCTGTCATCTCTATATTCCATAAGACAGAGTAGATGTAGAGCTTTCAATTTGAATCTCTCAAATCGTTCTGTTTAGTGAAAAGTTAAAATCATTTTAAAATTATTTAAAAAAAAATAAGACACTAGGGTGAGCTGCTTATTAAAAATATGAATATCTAATCTTTATTCTGTTATTCTACATTATCAGAATAAAATTCCACTTTCTAGAATTCTGTATCTACCCATGTATGCTATAGTATTTTTTATATATATATATGTATATTCTATATCTATAATTCAGTTCTGAGGCTTTGCAAATATAAATATTAAAATATGGAAAAAATTTATCCTTTGACCTACAGAAACTAGTACTTAACACTAGACCCAGAAGAATTAGTTACAATTATATACACCAGACTGAAGTTGGAAAAAAAAAGAAACATTAAAAATGTGCAGATACGAAATTACAGATGTAGAGATTTCACTCAACAGATAATACACTAAAAATACTAATGAGAACAACCTAATCTCTGCCTCTCCAGATAGAAAAGCTATGATAAACATGACAAAATTAAAAAGAATACAACTGTAAAAATAGTCAAAGGGGCTGATTGAAATGGAAATGCATTAATTTGAAGTTTAAACTTTGAAGTAGAATGTACACTGAAGAAAATAATTAGAAAAAAAATAGAATAAGCCACCTAAGAAGCCTTGACGACGTGTTTAATGTAATAAGTGTCACATTATAAAAATGTCAAGTCAGACTGCAAAGCTGTATGCTAACATATCTGTTATTGTTTGTTTGATTCCTTTAAGTGTTTGGACTTGGTTTCACTTGACCAGGTAAATAAGTTTAACACTTCTGAAATACTTGATTGAAAATGGCCATAAGCAACTCACTGAAACAACAGGGTGACTGGATTCCCATCCATGAACCTGTGGTGATTTGAACATTTACACTGCCACTGCATTTTAGGTACAAAATCAAATTCATTGGAGTTTCAAATTTTCCCTAGGCAGCAAAGTTTATTCAACTCACATCAGGCATTTGTGCTCATGACAGAATACTGGTCTAGAAAAAAAGACTTCTTTCCCATAAACTAAGAGTGCCTTGAGACAAGCCTTGAGACATTGCACTGAGTTCTCAGTGCATGTACCTAGCCATCCTTTCACAGACAAGGGTAGAATAACACCACTGTCCTGATTGCTGTAGCTGTTTATTTCACTTCTTTCCCTG